GTTGGTTGAAATTGTAGTGGACTGAATACATAACACTAAGCAGTAAATCCTGACCTTGCAAAGCCACAATGACAGGGCCACATATAATGTTAAATCAAATAAAGCAATTGTGTCTTAATATAATGTAAGAACCCAGCTGCTTGATTCTTGTTCTTGCATCATTTATTAAACTGATGATGCAGCCCATTTGTTGGAGCAGTGTTGACAAGCAACTTCCGTGGTGGCACTGTGGTTAGAATGCGGTACTGCAAGCTGATTCTCCCCAGTGCCAGCAGTTCGATCCTGACCAGCTCAAGGTTAACTTAGCCTTCCGTCCTCCCGAGGTTGGTAAAATGAGAGCCCAGATTGTTGGGGGCAATATGCTGACATTGTAAACTGCTTAGAGAGGGCTGTAAAGCACTATAAGCAATATATAAGTCTATTGCTATTGCTAGTCCCATAAGTCAGTGATCGGAAACAACAGGAAGAAGGGAAAAAGAAGAGCTCTCTTCAGATTTTGAAAATAGGGGATCACTTTACTTTGTTTTCTTAATTGGAAAAGTTTCTTCTTTTATAGAAGGCAATAAGGAAGTCTTGGCTGCACGTTTTGTGTATTGAAAGAGAAGCAATCAGAGTAGACATGTTTGTCTGCTGGGATCCTGTTGGTACCAGCATCAAGGTTGAAGTGGTGCCACTTCATGTGCATGTGTTGACAATTGTTTATAGACTATTAAAAGACAGCAAAATATAGATATGTTCTAAATGTTTTTATGGTTATATTTGCTGACTTTGTAAAAATAATAAAAAGGTGGAATACAAATAAATATATTGCAACAAGAGTTACAATATATGTGTACAAAGTCCTGACCGGACACCACCTTAAATGGGGTAAAACCGGTGCTACTATGTATGGAATTAGAAATAGAAATAGAAATAGAATAATAGGCTTGGAGGTCTTCTAGTCCAACCCCCTGCCCAGGCAGGAAACCCTACACCACTTCAGACAAATGGTTATCCAACATCTTCTTAAAAACTTCCAGTGTTGGAACATTCACAACTTCTGGAGGCAAGTAGTTCCACTGATTAATTGTTCTAACTGTCAGGCATTTCTCCTTAGTTCTAAATTGCTTCTCTCCCTGATTAGTTTCCACCCATTGCTTCTTGTCCTGTCCTCAGGTCCTTTGGAGAATAGCTTGACTCCCTCTTCTTCGTGGCAACCCCTGAGATATTGGAACACTGCTATCATGTCTCCCCTAGTCCTTCTTTTCATTAATCTAGACATGCCCAATTCCTGCAACCGTTCTTCATATGTTTTAGCCTCAAGTCCCCTAATCATCTTTGTTGCTCTTCTCTGCACTCTTTCTAGAGTCTCAACATCTTTTTTTACATCGTGGTGAATGCAGTACTCCAAGTGTGGCCTTACCAAGGCATTATAAAGTGATATTAACACTTCACGTGATCTTGATTCTATCCCTCTGTTTATGCAGCCTAAAACTGTGTTGGCTTTTTTGGCAGCTGCTCCACACTGCTGGTTCATATTTAAATGGTTGTCCACTAGGACTCCAAGATCCCTCTCACAGTTACTACTATTGAGCGAGGTACCACATATACTGTACCTGTGCATTTTGTTTTTCTTGCCTAAATGTAGAACCTTGCTTTTTTCACCATTGAATTTCGTTTTGTTAGACAGCGCCCAATGTTCAAGTCTGTCAAGATCCTTCTGTATCTTAAGCCTATCTTCTGGAGTGTTGGCTATTCCTGCCAGCTTGGTATCATCTGCAAATTTGATGAGTTCCCCATCTATCCCCTCGTTCAAGTCATTGATGAAGATGTTGAAGAGTCCTGGTCAAGTAAATTTCAGAATGAAGCATTGGAATAAAATGGGACTTTGGAAGAAGAATGTCAATCTTTCCCACCCTTATTCTACAAACAGGAAGTGTTCTATTCTTTTCAGAGACTTGAAGCAGGTGGTAACCAGCTATGATAGGTGTGGCTTCTGTAATCTTGAACTTAAGAAATTCTGGACAGGATGGAGATAAAAACAGGGGATTGGCTTCATGGCAGTGATTATGTTCTGACAATTTCTCAGTTAATAAATAAAAGAATCAGACACCTTAGGAGAAATTGATTTTTTAAAAAATGGTACAGAATCCTTTTAGGGAGAACAGAACACCAATTCCCTCGAATCACATTCAGGTGTGTGAATACATCAGGATGGAGTGTATCTAGATTGACCCAAGATTATAAAATTCTTTGGGGAACTCATGTCTCTTTTCTTGTTTTAAAGTTTAAGGATATAGAAGTGTTTTTTTAAAAAAAGTTCCTCTGATTATCATCAACACTGATCTGGACATTAAAGAATCACATGATTTTCAGACAAAAATGTTGATTAACATGTATCTTGAAGAATTTAAGGCATGGCTTGGAAGGATCAAGTTCTTGGTGTTAAGGTACTTCTATCCCTTGAATGTTTGTTGAATTTATAGAATTTCATAGGATCCTTTGGAATGCTGTTGACTGTCAGTCCCTCACAGGTGGCACCCAAGTTACTCTTGCAATGTTTGGATAACCAGAGTCACATGGGCAGGGTGGAACAGGTGGAAGGCTTGTCTGAAATTCCATAGTGCTCAAAGGTGATTTTAGAATTTCACCCTAGACTAACAATCCTTCAAACATTAGCTTTTTTAGTGTGGCATTTAGTTCCAAAAATCAGTCAAATATATCTAATATATGTATTTTAAAGACTAGTTTATAGTAATGAACCCAATCCCACTAATCTGCTCAATAAGTAACTTTATTTTTTATACAACTGCGCTTTGGGGCTGGGGAAAGGAACAAGTAGAAAGAAAATAAGACATTTCCATCACCCAAATCCATTCATTTAAAATACCACATTTGTGGAGTCATATAGACAATGGAAATGAAAAGTTACTTGAGCCTCTTTCAAGGCTCAGCTGTTTAAGAACAAAAGTCAAAGATCTGTCTAAGGCAGGATCCCCTAAAATAGTCAATATCGACCCTCAAGGGAGTCACTTTTATTATCCATAGCATTTGATTGAATTGTTATTTAAAGTCCCCCCCCCACTTTATTTAAACATTTACATTCATTTCATAAACTGTAATAAATGGGGGTTGATGAACAATCTGAAATGTCATGAAGGGATCAATGAGCTGAAGAGTTTAGGGACCTAAACTCTAAAGCATGGGTGTCAAACTTGCTGTGTCACGTTGCCATCATGTGACGGTTTGCAACATTTTTCCCCTTTGCGGAACTGGGGTATACATAGCCTGAGTGTGACACATCTGGCCCACAGGCCGCCAGTTTGACACCTCTGCTCTAAAGTAACTGAAACAATCAGTTGCAACCACCTGGGCCAGGATGTTCTGCTTTTTTGTCAGGTAATGAAAGTAGTGAGGGTATTCAGGCAAAACCACTTTTTTTTCCTTATACAAAAATAAACTAGCACTTTGGCCGTCCTCTGTTAGACGTTACTCTTGTAAATCAAGAATGCAAGTAAAAGAAAATGTCTCAGCTGAGCAAATAGTGGTTTACACAATCTTTTCTTTTATATATTAGGTACACGACCTGAGGCAGTTTCCTCTCTTGAAATTCTTTTAGAGCAGAACAATGTCCATTAAAATGTAAGTTTCAAATAAGAGAGAATGAGATAATGAAGCATAAAAGCAAAGAAATACGATGCCCCTCAAGCTTTCCATTGCATTTGCAATTGCCTCCCCACATAAGAAGGAGGGGAAAAGTTTGAAACTGTCTGTCGAAAGACCATCCTAACAACAGATGCAATTACCTAAGCAGGGTAAAAGCCATGCCCTGACATTTGTTTCTTGTTTTGTAATATGGCATGTCAGCTTCAAATTACACAAAAGGAAGAAAATAATTATTTGCAATCTGTGCATGTGCATTCCTTACACTCTTGTAATTCTTACATGTTAGCTGAATATATTTGCATGCGGCAAACAACCTTCAGTAAAATGGGAAAATATTTTATGCCCAACTGATTTCAGTGAGCAAGATTTAAGTACAAACTCTATTAAGATCAATGAGGCTTGAAACTTTGGCTAAATTCTTTCCACTTGCCTGGATATTTCAATTGGCAGTAGCCTGTTTTGGAGAATATCCTTTTCCTCTACCCCAAAGGGTATGAACTACAGCAGGAGTTGGCAACTTTAAACACTCAAAGAGTCACAAAGGTTCTAACTGGAAGCCCCCCATTCAATTCTGGAGCCAACCAGAAGTCCAGTTCCCCCACCATAGAGTCTCCTCTTAGCATGGCATCCTTTTTCCTCTACCTGTCCTAACTGAAAGCCCTATCAAATTGTGGAGCCGACCAGTGACAGGGAGCCACAGCAGAGGGATGAAAGAGCAACATGTGCCTCCAGAACCACAGGTTGCTGACCCCTGAACTATAGGCACCATGACCTAAGTAACCATTTAACTTGTTCTACTGCCAATATTTTGTTATTGCTAAAGATCTTACTTGGAGGTTTGGTCATTACTTGCCTAATCTTTACAATAAATGGTTCATTCTGTTTCTGGTTTTCTTTTGGCAAGAAAAGAAACATCAGATAGAGAAATCTTGCATTTTTCAGGCAAATGATGAAAAAAGCAGAATGGAAGAGCCACTGTATTATCTATTTATTCAAATGCTCATGATATCATTTTAAAGGTCAAGCTGAAGAAGAACGAGACACAATCTAATAAGATTTTAAATTGTCGAAGTGAAGAAAGGGTATTTAATCTTTTATTTCCTCATTGTCTTTTCTGATCAAAATAAGTTTTGTAGCAGGTTATTTGTCTTGCGGGGGAAGGGGAGGGAACAGTACTGAGATGGTTTTTTTGGTTTTTTTTTGAGAAAATGAGGATAACAGCCGCCTTGATTTGACTGCCAGGGAGGCTCTTCCAGTGCCAGGCCTAGAAAGACTGAGCATCTTCTCCTGGGCATTTTATAGATTTGTTTTTAAAGTATTGTTACAGTTCCCAAGTTACATTTAGAATAGTAGCACTAATAAAGAGGATAGTAAATAAAATAAAACTTATTAATATATTTTATTACTCCTCTTTTTTATTGTTTTAAACAATTGTTTAAAAAGCTAGAGAATTCTAGTCATTGATCAGATTAGAAATTATTAATAATAATATGACAACTTGCTGTGATTTGCAGTTTAACATTGGCACAAATGAGCACAGTACCAAAATCACTCCACTGAAACCCAAATATGTCATTCCAAATAACCACAATACACTATTTCTTAAAAAAAATAAAGTTATTTTATTACTTAAAAAAAACCAGACCTCTACCCAGTCTTCATTTTCCTTGTAAACAAGTACATTTGTACCATCTAGCCATATCCCAATTTCTTGAGAGAGAGCTTCAAGGCCAGTTTGTTTGCATAGTTCCACTGCTACAGTTCAGTCACAAGTCCTTCAGGGCACAAAATAATTCCAGGCCTTGCTATGGAAAACGAATGTAGTACCAAAAAAAAAAAAAAAAAGCCTCGGCAATTAAATCCTTCTGGAAAATTCAGCGTTAGAAATCATTCAAAAGCCTAAGACCACAGACTCCATTGGTCAAACGACTCTTCATGCTATCCAAAGTTGTGCCTGTGTGAACAGTACACAGAGAGGGTGACACTGAGAATTTGCTGGAATCGTCTCTGGCGAAGCTGAGTAGAAGTCCAACACACCAAGAATCAAGTTTGTCCAGTAGCACGGGCACAGCAGGAAGCTCCATCAATAAAAGGGCAACATGGAGCATAAATAGAAGAACAGACCTAGGAGGGAAAATAAAGCATTGTCGTCATGTCAACATTTTGAATTTATAATATAAATACACATCAGAAATCTGAAGATTAGCTTGAACCAAGGTCTGGTAAATTCATGGCCTTAGAGGCCACATACTATAATTTTAAGTACAACGCAAAGCCAACAGGATGTGCAGAGCAGATCATGAATGTCCTGTCCAATGCCTCCATTGTTGCTGTAGTAAACAGTCTGAGGAAAACTCCAAGGTTCAGCTTGTTTTTCTTGCTTTCCAGCCTGGCTTGAGCGATGTGTGTTTGGAGTTGGTGTAAACTGCTTAAGTTCCTTGATACATAACTGGAGAACTTTAACCCATCCCAACAAATAAGCAGATGGGTAATAGATTCTAGACAGACAACCCCAAATATTTACACCATCTTTCGCTGTTGACTTTTTGCGTCAAAGAGGTAAAAACAACTTGGTTTCACTATTTTTCCATAAGCCCATTCTGTGTGACTTTCAGACTTCATGTTAGTTGTAAAGTAGCTCAGAAACAGACACAAAACAAGTTCAGCCATTACCTCACTTGAGCAGTTTAAAACCTCAAAAACGTCAATTAGGTCGACCAGTTTAATTCACTGGATAATCAGCTTGGTAAAAAGCTTATCAGTTTCTGTGTGACTTTCTCGCACCGAAAGGGAGTTCACTAAACTGATTTCATATTTAAATCGCTGCTCTAAGCCCCAAGACAAAACTTTCCCAATATTTCTTAGATAAGCGGCAAAAGAGGCAGAGAAATATTTTTTTTTATAAAAAAAAAGGAAGCATGAAAGGAAGAGAAAGTGTTTGAGAGAAAGGGAGAAAGGGAGAAAAAGTTGTTGAGGTCCAGAAGTGTTTAGCTTCTCTATATTATAGGCAGACTTGACCACTTTATGAAATGAAATGAAAATGAAACCAAATGAAAATGTCTCAGTTGGCAGATCCTGAAAAAAAAATCAATGGTAGCCCTCCATCCATTTATGTTACATGTCTCTGTCTACCTCCCACCCCCAAACAATTCTCTTTTCTTGGACAAGCTGTTTGTGCTATCTAGGTTTCTTGCACCTGCTAAAGTAGCCTCTTCCCCAGAGGTACCTTAGCATAACATTCAACTCTCAATCCAGTTGAATTCACTACTCCAGATAAATTGGAACGCTGTTTTCTGCCTCAGGCGGCAAAATGTCTTGGGCCGATTCTGATTCTAAATATGATCCTGTAATGAACAAGAACACCCCTTTCTTGAGAATAATTTACAGAGATGGAAATCTCTACCCCCTGCAGAGAATTCAGATACAGTAATACCAAACAAAACTTAGCATCTCATTCTTTTACATCTGCACATTATTTGTTCATGCTTCTCAACACCTTGAACGTCAGGAAAACAGGGAAGAAAAATGGTTGGGCAAACTGTTTATCGTCTCCTTTGGAGGCAAACTAAATCTTACAGTGGTAAAATTCAATCTGAAATGAACTATTCTGACCTAGGCTCCCTTAGTCATTAAAACACACGAGTAGTCCCAAAAACCTCTTTTATTGCAACAGCTGTGAATTCTGTTCATTCACAGATGAGTTCCAATTAGTTATAAAGAGTCCTTCGAGAGAAGTCCTTTGGGATAATCACCCACCTTTATCTCCAGTGGTGGGTTGCTCCCAGTTCGCACCGGTTCGCAAAAACTGGTAGTAAAAATTTGTAGTAGTTTGGAGAACCGGTAATAACATTGGCTGGCCACGTCCCCGAACTGGTCCCTGGCCCTGTGGCCGCTCACTTACCCCACCCACCTCATCAAAGGCTTTTTTTTTTTTTACTTTTAAAAGCATTTTTTCTACAACCTCTTCGGCCAAAAAATTGCTTTTAAAAGTAAAAAAAATGCCTCTGATGATCGTGTGGCTCAGCTGGGATCATCAGAGGCTTTTAAAAGCATTTTTTTTCTGCAACCTCTTTGGCTGAAGAGGTTGTAGGAAAGAAAATGCCTTTAAAAGCCTCTGGCGATCCCAGCTGAGTTGCCTGATTGTCAGAGGCTTTTAAAAGCATTTTTTTCTGCAACCTCTTAAGGTTGTAGAAAAAATGCTTTTAAAAGTAAAAAAAAAAAAAGTTGGCCAACCCCCACTAAGCCACACCCACAAAATAAGCCATGCCCACAGAACCGGTAGTAAAAAATTTTTAGAACCCCTGTTTATCTCCCTTTACACCCTACCAAAGACCTAATTGGCAAAGCCACACGGAGTCCAGAATCAAACAGAGCTTCAGGCTTTAAGCTGAACCGAATGAACAAATGTTGCTTCCTGCAAAAGCCCACATGTCTTTGCTCCTCTTTTAAGTCTTATGGGAGGGGCCAATCATCTCCTAGCCCTACTCCTGAGTCATCCCTTTTGTTTTAGCTGTTCTTGCCTTCTGGCAGCTCTGTGCATGCGCACACTGGGAACAGGCTCCCCCTGTTCCTCTGCCTTGCTGAGGTCTGACTCTGGAGGCTCTGGAGGCAGCATGTACCTCCTAGATGGCGCTTTCTCTGCCTCTGACTCAGAGCCCTCGTCTGAGCCTTCCCCGGACTCCAGGACTGGCCCATGGTCCTCCCCAGCCTCCTCACTGTCCGACTCTGCTGCCAGCTCTGCAGGCTGGCGGCGGACCAAAACAACAGGTGGCAAGGGCCAAATAATATCTGCAGGCTGCTGGCAGACCACAACATGAGTCAAAACTTCATAAAGGCGGGGGGAAAGAATAAAATGCAGAATAAGCAAATGCGATAAAGGTGTTTTCCTGCCATGATGCCCAATGGTTAAAATGTGGGACTGGAAGTCAGGAGACCCTGAGTCATAGCAACTCTCTGTCATTCTTTGTCAGCCAGGCTTAACTCACAGGTTTAAGGTTCTGCAGATAGAATGAACAGGGTATGAAATCTGTCAGATCTGCCATCCTTCGCTCCTATGCTTTGCTAGGTACCAATCTGCCATAAGTCATGGGGTCAAAACATCTTCAAATGTGACTGGACAATGGAGAGAAAACGGTGTGTGTGTGTGTGTGTGTGTGTGTGTAACAGAGCAGAGAAAGTTAAGCAGGGAAACTTCACACGCAAACTCTTACATTTGGCTTTGCTACTGTAACCACTTGGTTGTTACCGGTAATAAAACTAACCTTTTCGCTATGAATGGAGTCGAGGGTGTTTCTTTCCTAAGGTCTAAGTTGCTCCAGGACTGACATTAAGCCAGATCTACCTACGTTGAGTTCTGGGAGAAAAAATGGGGTACAAATCTAAAATGTTCATCATCACTTTCATTTTTAGACAGGAAAACAGCTGGAGAAAAAAGTTTGGAGTGACAATATAAACAAAGAGAAGATTCATATAATTTTGATAGCAGCCTTTTACATATGGGTCTGTTGCCATGATGTCTAGACACAAGCAGTTTTTTATTACCATTGACAGGACCTCTGGGGAACAGTGCATGGAAGCAAAAAAGCTTTACGTGCAAAATAAGAGGGAAAAAGGTTTGTTTGATACTCAGGAGAGAGCAGTCCCACCCAGTGCACTGTCTAAGTGCTTTTATGCTCTAATGGAATTGCAGCCAGTAATACGGATGGCAGTGAAGCAAATGGGGAAAAGCAGCATGGAACTAGACATACCCAATACTTGTCTTATATATTATGGCTCTGGTACTCTGGTAAAAAATACAGCTAATACAGGGTACCTCTTTGTAGAATTCTGATTCTAGTGCTTAGGGAGAAAGACTCAGCTATGCTGAATTACAAAGCATTACTTTAATGCATTACCTTAATGCACTAGCCACTCAGCCAATTATTGTCTGCCTCTGGCTGGCTTGTCCAAATGCTAACAGAGGTATGACTTGCAATGCCCCGCATGACCTTTGGGAATTTGGAGCAAAAGGTCAGGAAATGTGGACTGTTATTGCAAAAAAGCACACGCCCCATTTTCAAGACTTTCGATAAGGAATTGAATTCATCCCTTTGTCTGGTAACACTTTGGATGACTGTTGCAAAGCAGCCCATTGAGAAACTATGTGTAAACAAAAAAGAGGATGGTTATATTAGCAAAGACTGTTCTAAGCCTACTGGGATAAGGGAAGTAGCACTTCAACTCATCTGTAAAGCATCAAGGCAGAGACTATTCAGTAATTTTCCTCTAAGTAGAAAGTAAAGATTCTCTCTTTCTTAGAGTGTGGGCCTAATCAAAAAGATTTTAATATACACAATTAATATCATTAACATCAGTCTGTTTCCATGGACAAATCACTCTCTGATTACCCTTTGGCTCACTGGTATCATCCCTCCCTGCATAGTAATAGGGGTCCATTTGATTGGCCCACCCTAGTCAATTTATGGACCTAATGAGGTTCCAGAAAGAGCTTGGAGCTTTCCTTAAGGAGTTGGTGAGTTGCTTGGTTTAGGCTTTAATCTCTGTCTAGAATGGGCAGATGGGTCAGCCCTTGGATGGGATATATTGCTCCTATGTCCCATTTCTGTGTGCACATTGGGTTAGGAGGAGCTCCAAGAAACACCAGAAGAGACACGTGGAGTGCCGATGGTGGACGATTCAAAGCAAGTCTGATTAAATATGGGTGAGAGCACATGTCAGGGATTATCTCATGGCAATAAGGGTGGCAAAATGTCTCCATTTCTCCACCTGCATCACATCTGCCAATAGCTATCCAGCAGCTATGTTTAGGTGACCTGGTCACAGCTGAGTAGGGAGGAGCGCCAGGATAATCTACAGGGCTGCTAAGAGCAAAATTCATGTTATCGGGTAGATAAAATCATTCAGGTCTGCTGCAACATGGACTCTGACTGGGCAGGTCTGGTTGAAGTGCCAAAGAAGTGGGCCTTCTCTGTTACAATACTGCTCTCTGGAATGAGGTTCTCCATGAAATCTGTGTGGCTCCCACCTTGATGGCATTCCAGAAAACCTTAAAGGTCTAGGAGTTCTCCCAGGGCTTGGGTTAGGGTAGTTGAGAGCCCTGTTGGATCTGTTTGAGGATATGGATA